GCTTATGTCGGACTGAACTTAATATTAAAAATTTTGAATGACGTGGGTTTGATGTTGTGTCAATGAAGAGGTTTATTTTTCTTTAGAGGATAATAAAGAAAACAATTTATAGATATGTATGAAGACTCAAAGCTTGTTCACACAACGACCACTCCAATGTCACACCAGCTTCTGCGCAAGGTTGTACAAAAAACGATAGATTTTGAAATAATATTCAACGATGTTTGCGTTCCTCGTGCTGTCTTCTACGAAACATCTGATGCTCATGAAATACCGATGTACCACATCGAAATGCCCAATGCGAACAATGCTCAGCTAGTGAAAGTTGTCTATGATGATTTTGACGTGGAAATGACCGATACATCAGGACTCAAACAGCAATTTGAAATGGAGGTGACAGATCAGACTGCTGAGGCTTTTTCGCACGATTAAACATTTGGCTACCTATCTACATCCGCCGACATGCAGCTCGGCTCTATAGGAAAGCTCGATTCAGATGACAAGTTGACACCAGATTCCATCTTTCTTTCTGGTGATGTCTGGGCTGTTACTGAATTCACCACTACACGTCGACAAGCATGAAGAAGTCTGGAAGAAGCTTACTAATTGAAGCTCATAAAATATTTTAATGTTTTGAAGCAGCGTCAAGAGCATTTCAGTATAAAGATCTTGTTTGGGATTGTTGTTGTTTCTGGAGCAGGAGCGTTATCCAACATTCTCTTATCAGAAGAAGGTGTTAATGCACTAGTATTCCAATATAAGTGCAGTCTGGACATTCTCACCAGGTTTGATTCTCGTGGACTGTTTTCTCAAGTACGTCGTCAAGAAATCGATTCTGAGATTCTTCATGTTAAAGATCAGTTCAAAAAGCATCTAGAGTTTTCTCCATTTACAAGAGAATTCTATTAAAGTTGAAAAAACCGCATGACCTAAGTTATGTAAGTCAGCTTATTGGTTTCAGATTTCGTAGTGTCGAACTATAGTGACACAAAAGAATCAGATTTCTAGATATGATGGCTTGGATTTTCTTAAAGTTTTTTATTGCGGCTGCGACTTCCTGCTCGTTTGTCCAGCTTAATATAGAGGTTCTAGATTCCATTCCTGGTAGGTCGAGAAACAAGACTGGTACTTTACTGCGTGGTTTAGGGAGGCCCAAACCTCTCCACACGGTCCGGTCTTGAAAAGTTAATGCTGATTTCAACTCTGAATTGTAGAGCACATTAGAAATAATTTCTACCATGGTTGAGTGTGAGCGGTAGGAAGTTTTGAAGATATAGGTATAATACTCAACTGTTATGTCCCAGAGGTTTTGTTAACTCGGGCAGACAACCTGGTTATGGAGGTAGCTGTTAAATATCTCCAGTCATGAAAACTTGGTCGAGGTCCGGGAATTTGATCAATAGACTCATAAAGTTGAAATAGGTTAGCAAACTGGCTTCATAAATTATGAGCTTTGTTACTCCAAAACATTCCTGGATTAGCTTGTCAGCAAATGCGGGTATCATGGTTGTTGTGCCAAAAATAATTTTTGGTTGATAATAATAAAATACTGTTTGGAGCGCGAAGTGTTCTCAAAACGCTTCTCCATTTTGTTCTGAGCGTTTTGCGAGGTATTCTTCATTAGCTGTTTTTTCATTTGGTTCTAATTTGGTCTAATTTTCCTTTAGGTAATGATTCAGTAATTCTGGTACTCGGCAGGAGCACCAATCCGGTCTTCCACTGTAGTTGGTAGTAGTTCCGCTGCTACAGAGTGCAAGAACACTGCAACTCCTTTTGGCAGGTTTTCAACCAGTTTAAAAAATGACTTGGCTACGTTTTGGACTGCATTATTAGTAGTAGCTGTGACCACGATTAAGTTGTCGTTGTTAAGGTTGGCCCGGTACCTATGCTAGATGACAGCGGCCGCAGTATACAAGACCTAAAATGGTCGTGATTTCGTACCATCCTTCTGCGTTTCTTCGTTCCTAGGTTTCTTTAATTATGTCCCAATAATAGTCTGATCCAATTAGGATATCACGTTGCACTAAGTCAGTCTCACCCTTTTCATTACCAGTTTGAAGTTTCTTAGGTACCTTATTCACTACATATGCATGAATTAGACTTTTCTCTCCATTTATTTGTAACAAATAAAATTCCACTATATGGGTTAATCTTTTTATGGGTTTTTTTTGGCAGCGGAGTTATGTGTCAGTCTTGGACGTACTTGAGAAATTCTCTATCGTAGCTTTGATTGTTAAGAAAACTACCGGTTCTTTTACTGTACTCAAGGCTTCAGGGCATACTATCAAACTACTTGTTTGGACCTAAAATTCTTTTATTCCCGAGGAAGAATTTCTACACTGTATACTCGATACGCTCGGACTTTCATGTTGTACCACGTTGACTTCCCTCTCCAGCTTCTCTTCTTGTTGTAGCGTACTGTCTCTTCTCCCGCATAAAGCTCTATGATGACTTCCTTTACAGTAGAAACAGGGGCGATCATAAGTGCAATCAGGTGTGAAATGTTTAGGACGAAGACAGCGAGCACAGAGATTAATTTCGCCTATTCTACGTCTTCTACTTACTACTGTCTTATATTCAACGCTCTTATCATGGTAATGATTTCCGTTGCAAAAGGCACATGAATATTTAAGTTTCCTTTCACGCGTTCCAGAGAAATTAGTAACGACAGGTTTGGTAAATTGATTGATCAGCTTCCGCCTTATTTTTGTGGGAGTCCAGTCCCGTTTACTGGGCTTGTACTCCGTAATAGTGTAGACTCTTTCTCTTAACCTAATTAACTCATGAAGTTTATCTCTCATGATACTGACGTTCTAGTCCGGAGCTACTGAATTCGCTTTCTCTAACTTAATTATAATTCCAGGGGGGAGTTTCTTCTGTATTAAAAGCATTATACTGGGATGATTGACATCTTCCTTATAGGCATTCAGCTGGTTACATTCTTATCAATCGTCTCCACTGTGGTTCTTAGATCGTTCAACTGCGGGTTCGCACAATGGATGTTGTTTAGTTGCTGGTATAAGGCGGTCTTGACCAGATTCTCATCCCCAAACCTTCTCTTCAAAATCTGAATGGCGTTTTCGTAATTTGCACTTGTGACTGCCATTCCGGCTACGGCTGCTTACGCGTTTCTTTGAAGACAACTTAGCAAATAACTAAACTTTTGTACCGTGGGAATGTTTACTGTATCTATAGCTGAGGAAAAGCGTTCCCAGAGCTCCATCCATCTCTTAGGGTCACCATTATATGATGGAAGATTTAATTGGGGTAGCGCAATTTTGGATGTTTGATCGCAGAGACTAATTAAACTCGAGGTTTCGTCTCTTACTCTAGCAGTGCTCTGTTTTATCCTTATATCACTGTTGCCTAACGAAACTTTTGCCTTATCTGAACTGGTCAAAAAATTTGAAGGATCTTCTATGGTGTATTCTTCGTAGAGTTTCTCTTCCGTTCCCAGTTTTGTAGCTGATAATTCCTTCATTAATTGACATCAGTCCCTAGTGTAGTTTTCCAGTCGTTCGATGGCTTGTTCAAGATATCTTTGATTGTAGGGCAGTGCATTAATAAGTGTTTTACACTCTACTTTATCTTCTGGAATGTCGATTTTCTCATCTACCGTTATAAGATAACTTTGCAAACGCTCATTTACCTGATCAATAAATTTACGGATCCCGATTGACATACTTCAGAGATACTAATTTATTGATTAATAATAAAATAGTCTCCTTTGGTTTTCAACTTTGGGGACCGCATTACTTACAAAGTGAAATCCCGGCTCGTGGCACCAATAAATAAATTACTGTAGTTGGACTTTTATCAATTACAGTATTTAATTTTGAGTGAATTTTTAATGGGTATTCACTACACCAGTGCTATAAAATTCCTCCTCCTCCTTCCCCCCCCCCCCCCCCCCTTTTTTTTTTTTTT